AATTAAAAAATAAATGGCATTAAGTTTTTGTAAGTTAAGCCAAAATTTGTAGTCAGTATGTAAGTTTCATCAAATTAGATATTTTGAATATTTAAAAAACACACATGACAACAGCGCGTCGGTCCTTCATCACTCTTATCGAACCGGCAATCGATCGCAAACGGTAACCGTGATTAGTTATCGTTTTGCATAGATAAATTACTTTATCGTTTTGTCAAGCAGATAGCGACAGATTTCGCCAACGGGTACACCCGGACAGAAGGACATTTGTGCAAGTGTACCAAAGACTTCGAGATACAGGAAGTGTTCAGCCCACTAATATTCGCACTCGTGAAGGACAGGGTACTGTAGAGCAGGAGGAACAAATTTTAAATATCGTGGAAATCAATGCAGATATCAGCACTCGGGAATTAGTCCGTGCAGGCCTTATTACCAGAAGACTATCCTCGCGGACTAACATTCTGTCAGTAGTTTTTGCACAAAAACACTGAAAATCCGAATTTTTTTAAAAACATTCTAGCGACGGACGAATGTACTTTTACGCGAGACGGGATATTAAATTTTCATAATAGTCACACGTGGGCCCAAGAAAATCCTCATACCATTCGTGAAGTTCATTTCCAACAACGTTTTAAAATAAATATTTGGGCTGGTATTCTTGACGATCAGGTAGATGGCCCTTTAGATTTACCCCCAAAGTTGTCAGGAGAAGGATACCTTAACTTTCTAGCCAATAACCTACCTGAACTCTTGGAACAGACCTCAGACAACATGCCATTACAACAGAGACAGAATTTGTGGTTTCTTCATGACGGGGCGCCACCACACATTGTTAGAGGCGTCAATCAGTATTTGAATGAACATTATCCAAATCGCTGGATCGGTCTAAATGCTCCTGATCCTCGAAAATGGCCAGCAAGATCTCCTGACTTCAATTCGATGGATTTCTGGTATTGGGGAGAACTTAAAGGTATGGTTTACGGGACTGGTGCAATAACGACTGAAGCACAACTCCGCGAAAAAAATTTTAATGCGGCTAAAATAATAAATGGACAACTTCGAGGACCTAGAGTAAGAAGAAACCGGGTCGTGGTATTGAACCTTGTGTGGAACGTGGAGGACGACATTTTGAACACCTTCTTCAAAATTGTGTTCCGTATTTATAAGTGGATTTTTTTAATACGTTCAATAAAATTTCACGCACCAGGTGATGCGCTGAGACAGTGGTAAGTCCGTTTTTTTTTAATTATTTACATTTAACGAGTTCAATTTTACGAATTCAAATAATGAAATGATACCTAAGTGCCAAAAATAACAAACTCCATATTTATTTACACTGCATTCCGTCGTAATTTATGTCTGGCATTGCAGCGTTGTCAGATTTTATTTTGCTTTAAATTCGCTTTCCTCTAAAAAAAAATGCCGTTTTGACGCCCATGTTATATAAAAATTTTTGCTTCTTTAAAACCCCCTCTATCACCCATTTGAATAATTACTGTCATAACGTTTACAGTCTATATAGTACATATAGTTGTATCGCACATAAGTACGAAAGATATAATTAGTTATCAAGCGCCGTTGACAAGCAGTTTCGGGTCAAGAAATGAGGCTACCGTCTACGAAAATGCTCATTTCTGCAATCTGAGAAATTATTTTTTTTATGAATAGCCCAAACAGTTCATTACTGGTCCGGTCAAAACCTGCGTATTTCTGATGCCAAGGCTATGAGTCAGTCTACTTGAGACCATGTTTGTCTCTACGAACCACTATTATCGACCGCAATGCTCCACTGAGAACTAGCTATGTGAATAATGATGAGAAAAACGCCTGGGCATCTAACTTCATTATAGATTCTTCAGGGTATTTAATAACTTAATGTTGATATTTAAGGGGGCCATTTTTAGGCCCATATAAGAAGAAACTCTCACATAACTTTTCGTTGTTTGAAGTACGGTTTTAACCTATTTCTCTACATGAAATTGTGATATTAATGAAACTGATATTATTGTGTCGAGAAACGGTTTTTATATTTTAGGCAAAAACAATGCATTGAAATGAAAAAAAATCAGGCGATACTACAGATGATTTGAGTTTTAAAAAAAAAAATATTTTAGAAGAAAAACAGGTTGGTGAAATTCCCTGCGAACGCCATTGATGGAAATGTAAACATTAAAAGATGTCCTTTGATACGTAGTACATGTATGCCAAATTTCACTAATATATTTAAAGCCGTATTTATGTTGTATTTGAATAATAGATGAACTATTTTTAAAAACTTGTATACCAGTATCTCAAGCGTTAAGACGTTTAGGGCATATGTTCATATGACGTTTTCTTCTCAAAGTGAACCCGAAAATCGTCCCCTTAAGTATTTAAATTCGATCAAAAAACACCCTGCATATTTGTATTTGGAAATTTTGGAAACAAAATTGCTAATAATAGGTATAGCTTGTCATGTAGCTACCGTTCTTGGGTATCTTAGCAATCGGATAAGTATTGGAAAATGGCTTTTAAGGCCAGTAGAATGAAAACGCCAGCTACATACGCTGGTAACTTGCTCCCCTCTCAAACTAAAATGAACCAGGTCGTAAGCTTTCTGTTACATTGATTTAAGCTTGTCGGTTTGACGACTACTATAGCAGTTGTGTTTGTAAAATTACTATGGAACTTTTGAATCGCTGCTATCTTTTAAGCTAGGAAGTTAACTATCACTTGCCTGTGATTTCGTTTTTTCAAGAGCTGGTTAACAATCTATAAGCCTTTAATGTGACAACGTTTCTTTTATGCCTGAATTATTGTGTCCTATGCTTTTCTTGGTGATCCATCTGTGCGGTTTGAACATATTTATAAAGTTATTCCATATATGGACCCTTAGTCACTTTGCAGTTGAGCTGGTCGATCTTAAAGGAGGTTCCACAATGCGTCGGATTTTCACTACACCTTCAAAATGAGCTAGTCCTAAAATATTGAAATTTCCAATGTTGCTGCGATATTGACTTGAGAAGTTATACAAAAACCATCATATATCCCCACGTTTTCATCATGCCTAGCCACCCGTTTATCGCTTCATTCTTTCCCAGCTTTTAACTTTTTCAGCACAAAGCTCATTAGAGCTGCCCATCTTTTTTCCAGCTATAAATCAACATTTAAATAAGCAGGCGGACCTCGTTTACCGATTCTTTAGCGCTGTTTAATCGAGCGTCGAGATATTCAAATATTTGATGAAAAAAGTTTCCAAGGAGGATAAAGAGTTAAGGAAAGTTAGCAGAATGACGGAAGTAGTGTTCCGCGCATATAAAATGGACGAACTGCTTGTCGCAACTAAGGTTCATGAAGATAATACTTTTCCTACTAACGCATTTCGGATATACCAGGATAATGTACATGGTATCCTAGATATCAATGTCCCAGGTGTCTTGAAACTTGGGTTTTGGAAAACACCAGCGAAAACTTAAATATGAACAAAGTGAAAGTACTCACTGTTCTTTTGATAAGACATTTTAAGCACCGCTCTTTCGTATTGTTTGAAGGTGTTGCCGTTTAATTCATAACATAAGATTGTTTAATTATTTTAGAACTTGCAAAATTAGAGGTTGTCTAGGTCTTTTACAGTGTCATTGTAGAGACTTTGGACAACTTGGAAAAGCCTACGTAGCTCGAAGAGGAAGTGTCCAGAAAAACGATCTGAATACGCTCGTGAAGTATCTGTAGCATCCTGAAAACGCTCATCATAAACTAACAAATCCGCAACTCCGTTATTGCTCGTAAATTATCTGTCGATTTCGTCATTTTTTAACACGCTCTTATAAACATTTTTATCAATTTCCAGAAGTTTGATTTATTTGAAACTTCGCACACGAATCAAGGACCGATAACAATGCAATAATTTAATAACATTTTTCCATTATCCCTATTAGGACCGCCAGCATTGATAAATTCTTTTATAGGTTCTCTGTAGGTGAGTAAGAGAGAAAGAGCTAGCGCGCGATATGCGCATGCGTGCAGTTTCGGACTTACTCTTTGTTGGTTCGGACACTCGGCACAGAACTACGGAGGCAGATTTTTCGACGTAGTGCATTCTCACCTTGTTCACTGCGAATGTTGCCGTTAATCCTGAGTTGGGCTTGGACCGTCCACAAGATGCAAGGTTCGCGACTGTTTGCTGCTAGAAAAGCTTATGTAGCACTCAGTCATGTAAGATGTTTAGACGGTATTCGGATTGAAGAACTTGGTTGCTCTAAGTTAACAGGAAAAACCGTGAAGCTTTAAATGAAGTGATGATGATGATTACGAAATGATTCGTATGACATTTCAATACCACATGTCCGCAAAAACTATTTGATAATTCGAACTAAAAAATTGAAAAATTAGTAATAGTTTTCTAAAAATCAACATTTTACACTAAAAATAAAAAAAATAAAAAAATCTTCAGGCTACGTTTTTCAGAAATTAAAAACATACTCTTACTTAGCTTCACGCAACTTTGTACTGAAATGAAACTTTCTAGATCTTTCTTGTAGACTTCTACCTGAAGGTCCATTCTCAGTTCCTGAAACAAAAAAAAATAATTTTTATTACATAACAAAAATTCTGACAGGGGTGTTTTTTTCTGTATTTTTAGCGCACATGTATATACCATAGGTATAGTGTGAGTTATGGTGATTGTACAACAACTGATGCAATTTGGTATCGGAGCTGGGTTTCGGTGCCAAATGGTCCCATTTGAAAATGAATGAAATCAACCCCATAATGTCTTGTCAAAGTATGGCTTGTGGGGCATCAAATGCAATTCAAAAAAGTGCATTTTATTTTTTGATACTAAGTGGCCATGAAATGGTAGGGGTAAATCAATAATTTAATGGTATTTTTTCTTTTTTTGTCATGGGTTATAGTTTTTGAATGAAAATTACCTGTTTCTGAAATCCAAGCACTCCACTACTTGTCTGGAATGATCTTTGCAGACTGATTTTTGACATTGAGCACATTTTGACTTAACTTTTCTATCCTTTTTTTCTGGGGCAATAGCTCCATCTCTCATATAGCCTCGCTCGCCCTGCTGCATCATGTCTGTCACTATTGTTATGCTGCTCGCCCAGTATTTTACTGATAGTGTTACGCAACTCCGAGGAAAGTTCTTTTACTTGTAGCCGTTGCTTCAAATGTTCTTCGATTAGTGATTTTCGCAGCATTATAGTGAATTCTCTTCTCGTTTTTCATTAGATGCCTTCAAGAGCACATAACTGTTGACTCTTGAAATATCTAGAATAGCGCCGAATACTGCCATAGGCCATCTTCGTGTTCATCTTTGAAGGAAGACACAGCACATTTCTGGTCTAGAGAGTCTACGCCTCCTTTGGTTGAGTTGTAGAACTCTATGATTTCAGGTTTGCGGTTGGTGTCACTCACAGATTTATCATGGTGCATCGTTGATAGCAAAATTACACTTCTGTTTTTCTTTGGCACGTACGACACGAAAGTTTTCTCTCGTGTGAACGCAAACTCTGAAGAGAGTGCAGGGAGATCCTTGTGTGGATGAAATTGGCTTGGGATTTCACCTTTATTTTTTCTCATCGTTCCAACATATGTCAAACCATTTCTACCCAACTCATCGGCGCGTTCTATGGATGAAAACCAATTGTCACCGTCACGTTCCGATTGGAATTCAATATAGGTTCTACCAATTTCATTACACTAAGAGTTGGAATCAAAAGTTTGCGAGGATTCGCTTCATTGGTTTTTCCACAATAGATAAAAGAGTTCACCAAATAGTGAGTTTTTGAGTCACAGAGGCACATTATTTTTATTCCGTATTTTCTCGGTTTACTTTTTATATATTGCCGGAAAGAGCATCGACCTCGGAACCCCACGAGCATCTCGTCCACAACTCCATATTCACTGCACGTGTTGTTTTGTTTGCAGTTCTCGTTGAATATTCCGTAAATCTCTGATATGGGAGCCAGCTTATCCCCAGCTGTTTTTCGGGCATCTCTCGTACTATAATCATCAAAACGTAAAGCTGATAAGAGGAACAAACACCTCTTCTCCTTCATGGTTGCTCGAAATATATCTCTGCCAGTACCATCATTTGCAAATAAGCTGACAATATCTTCATGACCAGATTTGAAAACGCCCCACAATAGCATGAGACCAACAAATGCTTTCAATTCCGTCTCATCAACGTGATTTACAAAACTTGCGGTGTCGCCATAGCTTACAGATAAGTCCGTTATTTTCTGGTTGGTATGTTCAACAATAAGATCAATTATATTCTGAGTAAACAGAAGAGACCAAGCATCTAAAGGAGTATTTGGTTTATTATTTAGAGCTGGTCCTCATCTAGTACCAGGTAAATGAATCATGTTGTTATGTCTCACTCTAGATGGCTCAGGTGGCGTTTAAGACCACTTGTATCGATTTCGACCGTAGTAGTAGTTTCCTGAAGTCAGTTCTTGGTCAAACTCTTCCTCTTCTACAGAAGAGTGTTCTATCTCTGACTCAGTATCGTGATCACTGTGATCACTAGGCGCATCGCTCAGATCATCGACCTCTTCTCTGATAGTAGCTGGAGTCTCATCTTCACTGCTTGTATCTCAAAACCTTTCAGATATTCTCTCCAATTCCGCTTGGCTCAATATTCGGCGATTCATTTTTCACTAGTCTCTAAATTTCAATTCACCTTAACTGGTATCGTCTGGACACCCCAACCCCCCTTTTTTTCAATAACTGTCCTTCTGTTATGTAAAAAATAAGTGGTATTCTCAGGATGCCGTCATTTTAGGAGAATACATGGAGTATCAGGCAAACAAGTTCATTGAAAGTATGTTGAAATTGCAAAAATATCATCAGTAGGGTGTCAAAACACCCCACGATACCAGTTAAGGGTTAAAATAAAATTTAAGTTATTATCAGAAAAATTCAATTCAGAGAAAAAAGCGTGTGATGCATTTTACTGCATTTTCATAACTCTCCTCTCATAGATAGTTGCCAGTAGAATGATTGTAACATTTACTATATCGAGCACTCCACGCTTTTTACTCTAAATTGAGTTATTCTGATAATAACTTATATTTTTTTATAACTTCATTTTGAGGTCATTAGTTATGATTGATTGTTCGACCACCTACTACTTTAATATAAACTCGTTGTAATTAAAAATGATTTTCTACTTTTTAGTTCCGTTAGCTCTCAAAACGTGTTTTTTGTTTAGTTTTTTTTTAACTATTATTTATTGCCAAATTCGATTTATGAATGAACAGTATATTAAACCGCGTACCGCGCGATGCCTGATTTGAATACTGAAGCACGTCTCGTAGTTTTTCACGCTGGATGCTGGGCCGGGCTGACCCCTTTATGTTTTTCTTGTAAAGTTGAATATCTCGATTATCTTAAGGCTTCAGTGTATGTGCTACAACTAAAACTAACAGTGTCTGAAGAGTCCCAACTTCAAGGTCAGCATGTATAGAAGACAAAAAATGTTGACTGGGTCAACAGCAAGACGATGCTTTGTTCGCCGTTATGGAATATAATAGAATAAAATGGGACTTATTTCGTTTGTTTATTTTTTCCTACTTAGCGCTATTGTCGGAATTCATAGATATAGGAAGGTTTTATGAAAATAATAATTCTAAGTGATAGAAACGTATTGGTCAATATATAATAGAAATGTAACTTTTAGATCATTCATAAAAATAGATGCAAGCGCTCATAATGGAATAGATTGTCCTGATTTTTTTTGTATATTCACTTTGGCAAGGTATCTTTTTATTTTAGTTTATTGTGTTTATTCTCGTTAAGTGATTCTATGATTTTAAATCTATTTGTTTCTTGACCGGTTTACAGTAATCATAACACTTTATGGTATTCCCATAAAAAAGAAAAATATGCCCCTTGACACGATTGAGAGGGCTGCCAAATTACCACGGTTCACTTTAGTGTTTACAAAAAAAATATTTTTTTGACAGTCGTTGTGTGCTATTACTGTCAAAAACAACATCGTGGACGGCGTGGTCGATAGATTTTTTCAACGTATTTCCACATTATCTCGTTCATTTTTCAAGTAATCTTAAAAAATTCTTGACGTCTCGACATGATATCATGGTTTACATGTCATGAGCCACCCAGGACGTGACCAAATGTTTGGTAGGAAAGTTATCAGATAATATTGCCCAAAAAAACTTAAAAAAAAACAAAGGGACAATAACATTCTTTAACTTAATTTTTTGGGAAAGTATGGAAATAAATTGGACTAAAACAAATTCGTTAATTTTTGAACAAAGTGTATAAAACCTAATAGCAGCGTTGTTAAAGCATGTACTGCACCACTACAGATTATCACAAAAATCCAATCAGCGGCCCCAGAACGACAACATAAAAAACGTGACCAACCACCTTAACGTTTCGTTATTTTTCTTGCACTAAAGGGTATCTAATAGTGCGACAAATTTCAATGAAAAAGGTCCGATAATGTAAAACTAAACAATATTTTTGGTGCAGATACCGTAGTCATCAATTGAAGCTTCACATAATGGTTTCCATGGGAAATCTAAATTTAAATTGTCACAATACTGCTAAAAAAAACCTGTTTGGTAATGGTTGTGCGTTGTCATCTTTGAAAGGCATGGCTTTAATCCGTACCACGTGGAAACTGGAAATACATTGGTGGAGAGTCGTTACATGTAAAAACATGATCACCTAGAAGACGTATTCAAAATCCAAAGGTCGACGAGTCAAATTTGGAAAAACAATGTATTAACCTTCTAATAAATAGTATGTCAATTTCAGTAAAAATCTCTATTACATAGAATTGCTAAATATAGCAACTCCAAGATCTGCGATATGAACCGTTGTATTCATTTTGAGTCACAAGAGTCCATAGGTCCATGTGCCACTTCAGCACGGTGCACATTAGATATGCAGCTTTGAAAAGTATAGTTTAATGTGACATGGATAAAATGAAGTTACCGTCATTGTGACAATACATTCGTCACCACCGACCCAAAAAATCACAGGATATAAGTAAGTTTTATTTCATTTGGATGTTTTCCGCGGCATCTTGGCGAATATTATTGACAAAAAATGTACGCCGCTGTCTTTAATATTTGTTGTTTGATTAAGCATTTGAAAATTGAACTTCTTTAAAAATAAAAACCGTGTTATTACATCTCACTGGACAAAATTGGTTGATTGCTTTTTGCTAAAAATATTTCCTTGGGAAACAAAATAAAAAATTAGCCTCTTAGTACAACAAACAATATTGCCAAATTTTAACAGAATCGAGTCAATGTTTTTCAAGATAATAATTAAAAAAAGTAATATTTGTCACCCGGTTTCTTGATAACTCTCTCCAAACCCGTTTTTCTAGATTTTTTTCTATTTCTTTATACAACAAATTATCCTCTTAAATACCTCCGTCTATTTTTCACCCTGTATATTTAAGAAAAAGAAGTAACGGCTCAAGGTCCGATACTTAGTGTGTACCGGAGGTAATTTTCGGAAAATTTGATGTTTTGGATACGCTTAAAGAAACACATCCAGTACGAATGTCTAGGTTACTTCCGAAAAAGCTATTCGCTGTTTGATCGAAGCCATAGTACCCTATGCTTCGCAAGCAACAAGCTGTGGTTGATGTTATCAAAAGCTTTAGAATAATCAACGGACAGAAGAACGAGATCCAGCTTTTTGTCTGAAGCTCTGAAGATATCAGAAATATTTATTAAAGAAGAGGTAGTACTGTGATGCCTGCGGAAACCTGATTGGTTTGCCGGGAATATGAGAATTAGAATTAAAAAATAATTTTTTATTAGCTCGTGTTCAATTATCTCAACGAACTAGTGTGACTTTTAGGACATGTCAGCTTTGAGGGTCACTAGTATGTAGCTGTAATTTAAGGATACCTCACACGTGGAGCTCTAATGTAGTGCACACGATCTTGGTGGCCAACTCACGAGGGTTACCCTTACCGGTAAACACATTTTGGTGTAATCCACAGTTAATGCAAAAAGTGTAGCACTAAGCTGGAATATTGAAAACTCTGATTATTTTTCCTTTCCCCGGGAAAAGTTTTATCTGCATATTTTTCAAATAAAACTCTTCTGCTTGTCAGCTTCTAACGTGAACATCAAAACCCCATTACAACTTTTTATTCTCTGAACTTTCTGCCAAAGCGGACCAAGTACATCTCTGACAAAAGAAAATAACATGGTTAGAGCGAACAAAAAATAAGTGGGGATCTCGATTACTCAAGGAATATTGCCCGAGAAACTCACTCAGTGATACATATCTAGAGTTTATACAGGGTGTCTGCGAAAGGTAGGAAAATCTCGACACTGGAGATATTACAGACCAAAATATGTGAATTGACCTGAACGTACCTTTGTCCAAAAGTTGATAGTTACAATTTTATTTTCTGTTTTCCTTATTGCTTGGGAAGTATTTCAGATTTTGGCATAAAACTCGGTGTAGGCAGATTTTCCAGTATGAGAAACAAAAATCTGTTATTTTTTATGGCCAAACTTCTAGAAGGCGTCACTTACAGCACTATTTAAGTAAATAACTTATCATAACTTTTTTGT